TTAAAGCTCACTGATTACCATGTTATATCTCCCTAGCTTAATCTGCACAAGAAGCAAAGTGTAAAAATTGAGAGTTCACAGTTTTACGGGGGGCTTTTTGCCGGACTACTTTCCGAGCAGTTGCCAGGCAACCAGTGGAGACGGTTCGCAGCTCCTTCTTGATGATTCGCTCATTGGTCTGTGGTACCCACAACCCAATCACTTCCTTTTGTGCCTCCTTCCAAAACACACAGACAAGAAGACAAAGTAAAAGTTTGCAAATACATTTTGGAAGAAACATAATGCCGACTGGAATCCATTTTCTAGTAACAATGGGAAAATATTGTTAATTCGCAAAAATATTGATAATGAATGTATCAGTAAAACAGCCAGTGGTTGAGGAAAGATCATGCTCTGGTTTAATACAGAAAGAGCTTGCAATGACTTGAGATACAACATGTTTATTAAAATTTAACAGCAGAGGGGGATCGGGATGTGAACCTGCTGTCACAGTCCTGTGCTTTCTACGCCCATCATCTACTTCCACCACCTCCCTGCAACTCCGGTGTGGTACTTAAATGTAGCATGTCACTGACTCAGAAAACATTTCCTCTGCACAAAATCCAGGCCATGATTATGTTTGGCAGCACATGTATTTGGGGAAACAATTTAGTACTATAGAAACATAATTTCTATTAATCATCTCTGGTTCTTGAACCGGTCCCGTTCAAGATTCTTGGAACCTCTGCGCTATCTATCCAACCAGCCCGCGTTCCCACCAGTTTCGAGAAGAACTTTGTAATAAGCTGGCTTTCACAATGTGAAATCAGAATAACGAAGTGCGTGCAATCTTTGTTCTCATTCAACTTAGTTATTGTTTTTATTTTCAGCAGCAGGAGCAAACCCCTGAGAAAAAATTAGACCCTTGACATTGATGAAGCAGTCATTTGCTAGATTGATTGTTGCCCATGCGTTCAGTTTTTAAAATTGACCAGCTGACTCTTGTGCTTATATTGGGTGACAGGAGCTCCCTTTGAACTGTGACAAACTGTGTTAACTCTGTGTCTTATCTGCCTGATGCTCTCCTCTTCTTCACCTGTCCAGTAGCTCTGTTGGTGTCTCATCTGTATTCATCTCCTCTGCTCTCTCCTCCTGTTCTCTTCTCCTCTCTCCTGTCCTGGTCATAAAAAAGATGCAATCAGGATACCAAAACAAAATCGAACCAAATCTCTCCTTTATTGATGTGATGATTGGATCATAAACACATAATTATTTGTCAGATTATAGAAAAGCATATTTATAAAGGCATATCCCATCCCATAGAGGCTAAATAGTCCTCAGTGTTCGTTATTCAGTTTGGGCTGACAGTCACAAACACAGCAACAGTATTGGATGCCAGCTACAGGCTGATATTCAATGCAGCAACAGATGTGCATCAATCATTCAATTGTTATTTATTACTTACTGCAGTGTAATCAGTGGATTCTGTGCTCCCTCCATCTGATAACATCTATCTTCACTGCCTCATCCCTTCCTCTGTAGCTCTTGTTGCTGTTTCAAGTCCTCCCCTCTCTCTCGTGTGCATTTTGCTTTTTTTTTTTTTTACTGTGAAGTAGATCTGATGCTTGAATGACAAAAAAAGGACTTGTGTTGTTGACTATCTTATTATTTTTGAAGGCTTTAATGCATGATCGCAATGACAGATGAATAGATTCAGGGCAATTTTTAATTAGGTGTTGTTTGTTTTTGTTTGGGGGGGGTATTTTGTTTTGTTTTTTTAGATCTGGGTCTATTCATAAAACATTTGGGGCTGTAGCCTTGGAAGCCCAGGCCTAACAACGCCACTGGACAACACTGGTAGAGCAGAGGGAAAGATTTACTCACTCACGAACTTAGCAGCAAGTCCTTGCGCTGGAGTTCAGGAAAATCCAAAGAAAATCAACAGACTAGATAATAGAGAGGTTATAAAACAGCTTGCAGAAGGACTGAATGTGAACTTTGAAAGAAAGACATTCATGTGCAGTGGCTGAGGCAGGAAGGAAGAGAGAACATTTTCTTCACCACTGAGTGATAACAAACAAAGCCTGAAGTCACTGATGCTTAGATCAGATTTAGGGACAGTCGGTTCGAGGTCTTTCTGATCGCTGCTCTATACTTCATTTTAAAGAGATTCTTCACAGACTCGTTATTTCAAGAAGGTTTAAAAATTAAAAACACTCTTTGAAGGATTTTGAATGTCACACAATTTTTTAAGAATGTTATATCGGCATGAATTCTTGACAGTGAAATGAAAACTGATGAACAATCGTGTGTTTTGGCATTTTCCCAAGAGGAGACAGAGTCACACTGACTAAAAATAGAAATTTCTTATTTCAGCCCCAACAAGGCTTTAGGGGACATGAGAGTGGAGAGGAAAGCCTCCACTGTTGGCTGCTGAACCTGGACTGGGACAATAATTACTGCACAGTGACTGAAATGAACTTAAAAAACAGAAAATCCTCACATTACCAGTGATTCAATAAAGAATGATTTTGGGTGAACTCAGGACATAAATTAACCACAACGGGACTACGTATCTTTATAGATTTTTTTTTAATGAAACCAATGCGTATCCATATATGCAAGACTGCACTTTATCATCATTTTTCTCACTTTATCTAATAAACAATTATCTTACCATCATACAATGGGCTCTATATGAAAAGAATGACTATACATTATAAATGTACCTTTATTTATTTGACTGATGCATCCTCCATCACTAGAGAGCAAATATTATCTCTGATGTGCTACAGCAGTGGTTCTCAACCTTTTGATGTCAAGAACCCCCACATTGATACACATCAGGCCTTGGATGTGTATTTGATAAGATACAGCCTCAGAGATCCTTTATTTCTGATAAGATTTAATAGTTTCATAACTCTCTATATTGTAGATTGGCAGATTAAAAGTGAAGAGTGTGAAACTCATTCTCTCAGTGACTAATGTCTAGTGAATTAAATTATAGTGAAATTAAAATATTCCCCATTTTTCTGTGGACCCCCGGGAACCTCCTCAGAGTCTCCTGGGGTTGCCGGACCCCAGGTTTACAACCACTGTGCTACAAGACTGCTGTCTGAGCTTCATTGACATATATGAAAGGGAAACTTATAATTTTCAGGAGAACCAAACCCTGTATGTTCTGTATGTGTCAGCTTCCCTTCATCGACCTCATCTCAGCAACTGTTAGCCAGAGTGGCTGATGGATGTTCTGCTGACAGTCGGCAGTGGGGGAATGTAACTAAGTACATTAACGCAAGTACTGAATTTGTGTACGAGAATTGTAAATATATATCGCAAGACAGTAATTCACGATACAAATGTGTGAAGATTCAAATCGTTGAGATGAAAAATAAATTGTGATACTCTTTTTAAACAGCAACATCAGCAGGGACATCAGTTTTATTTGAACAAAGTAAAGGAAATATGCACAGTTTATACCCTACCTACGAAATAAAAAAGGATTATTTCATTTAATACAGAAAATAAATAGTGTGTGTCACTTTGGGCTCTGGGTAACTGTGACGGCATTTCTCACTACTTTTGCAAACAGTCAATATATTAATAAAATTTGTATTTAGTATCTCAGTGGTTGAGAATTAAGGATGATACAGTTTCTTTGTCAGTGTCGTCATAAATAACATGTTTCTGCTAGTCGTTACTTTCATTCAGTCACAACTGCCGACTCACTTTTAGTGCCATTTATGCAGATGGCAGAGATTGAGCAAAAACTTGGATAAGATATTTACATGTTGCAGTATATTTATCCAGAATGTTTCTGTTTGATTATCTTGAGTTTAAATATTTCAGTCATTATGACTAAAGTGAATACAGTGAAAGATAAAATATATGTGAGTTTGTCGTATAGTGTAGAAAATATATTTGATCAAACATCAAAGCTACTCAAGTATTTAAAGAGAATATTTGGAATATTAAGTTGATAACTAATGAAAGACTTGTGCCTTGAGATGAAAAGCAAAAATCCAACTGATCACCATCCACCTCTTGTTAAAATGAGCGTCAGATTTGGCCGTGTTTCCCAGCTCTCATTTATCTGTGAGAGTGTTTAGTGATGGTGGCAGCCATCAGTCTTAATTGAAGAGAAAGAAGTTGTGTGTTGCAGTCAAACCTCATTTTAAGGCTGTAATGCTTCTAAAATTTGATTTGCTCGGCTTTGCCGTTGGCGCATCACAAAACGGAGGTTAATGGTTTTCAAATGTCAGTCTGAGAGCGTGAGAGAGAGAAAGAGGAAGAAAGAGACATTTATTTCAGATGGCTGAAGGGTCGTCAGTCCGTAGATTAGAGATTAAACCTTGAAGACTACGCTTTCCTTCCAACCAATACCTGACAGGAACCGAGGACTATATTTTCCTCCTCAGATGTTCCTGACTAATATCAGTCTGAGCTATTTTAAAGGCTGTAACTAACGGTTGGAACCATTTTGAAAACAATTTGAGCGTCTTTAAACTGTGAACTCCATTCTTCAGGTTGGCACAGGTTTTCATTTTCAAGCTGTTAACTGCTGCTGTTCTCAAACATCTGCTCATCAGATTGATTTGTCTTTCTTGAAAGGTGCAGTGTGCTCCTTTGATTGCTGCGCATTTGTCTTTCATCAGTGTTTCATTAGTTTCCTTATTAGATACAAGTGAGAACAAAGAAATGAGAATGTGTGCAGAGCTAAAAAGGGTGGTGATATATGCAAGAAACAAAGTTCAGCTCAGAAAGTCTGAAAAAAATGAACAAAAAGTGGAAAGCTCCTTTCAGACAGTCAGACAGGGTTGGATGTGTTGAATATCATGTGTTTCTGCAAACCAATCACATCTTGGCTTTTTTAAATTTTAGGATTGATATAAAAATGCATTTTAAGACTTTATTTCCTCCTGTATACAAGTGTGAATGTCACAAAGTATCGCACCACAAAACATTATTTTGTCTTTGAGTCCAGTACTAACTGCTCCATCCCTGTCCTCTGTGATTGACAGGTGTGCTGGTGGTGAATGTGACGTGGAGGAAGAGAACCTACGTAGGAACTCTGTTAGACTGCACCAAACACGACTGGGCTCCTCCAAGGTAATACTACACTGTTTGTCTTTTTCTTGTCTTTCTCCGCCTCTGTGCTTTTCTACAGAGAACTTTAGAGGCACAACGTACGAGACATACTATAATGTGTTTTACAGCATTTTCCAAAAATCTCCAAATTTCATCTCAGCTGACTCAGTTTAGATATAAAACAATGAACTGGGTGGTTTGGTTGGAGCTGTTGCTAAAATGTTAGCTCTAAATAGATGAAGTCGTGACAAGTGTTCGTTAGCTGTGCAACTGTTACACTATGTCTTAACATTGACCATTATCCAGCAGTTGTCACCTCTAGCAGTGGTTGCTGTAAAGCTAGGCCATAGTCTGCTATTTATAGTGTGAATTGCTTGCAATAGCAGTTCTTTTATTTTTCCGGAAAATGGAGACATTATGTCATTAGGGCAAAAAATGTAAACTTAATGTGGCTACAGCCCAAAAGCAAACGGCTCTGGTATTATATTGTTATGATGCAAAATGGTACTAGGTTCCCAAATTCTCTTAATTGACCGACTGCCTGCACAAAGTGCCACTCTGCCTGCCATGCTCAGATTATTCAAAATAGGGACCCCCATTTTTTTTTTTTTTTTTGTGGGCCAAATTGAAACTTATGCAAGTCACAGACCCCACTTTGGGCACCCATGCTTTAGACCAAAGATATATATTATCCGTCAAAAATGTGTTATGTTTCCTTGTACTCCATGCCTCTGATGTACAAGATAAATTACATTGACTCATTGTGGGCTTGAAAAGTTAGCATTGCTCCTTAGCCGAAGATGGGGTAGTATTTATTTCAGGAAATATCATCATCATGGTGAAATATATGCACTGCTTCCTGTTTGGAAGCTTACTGCAATGATGCTTGTTTATGTGCGATATATGTTCCCGTGCACAGACAGTTTCAGCCATTGAATTTCAATTCTTAAACAGCAGCAGACCTTTTTGTGGGATTATGATTGGCTTGTCACATCGCCACAGGGCAACACAGAAGTGAAAAATTAGGACACTGTTCTATTTTTTGGCCACAAGCAACCAAGCTGCATGAAGAGTTGATGTGTTGCAGTGTGTTTCTATTATAAATGTACTGTATATGCGTACAGCCACAGAGTTTCTGTTCATCACAACTGTTAATAAAGACTGCCTAAAATTATATTTGAAATCAATTTTAATTGTAAACACATTTTAAGGATAGGCCTCAATATAATTATTCCTACTCATTTCTGCTTGGTGTATTTCCCTATTTGATCTATCATGTTTAATCATTTTATTGTTATTCTTATTGGCTTTTATTTGTTGCTGATTGTTTATTTGATTAACTGATAAAGAGCACTTATTCTTTTAAAGTGCTTTAATGTTGGTAAAATGATAAAAATGGCTAAATTGGCTCTGGGGCTGTCAGCTGTTGTTCAATGATGAGCTTTAACAAAAACGCTCTCCACTCTGCATCCCAACTGTTTTACAAATGGAGAGTGGTTTTTGTAATTGCTGAGTGGAAAATGTGACAGTCCCTCCTCGCAGGGCTGAAACCTCTCAATTATTGCTCCTGTATGTAAATGACTGTTGTCATGGCAATTACAGCTTAATCTCAGAAACCAGGGACTAAATTGCTTTTTTCATTTGGGCTCTTGTCACTGCGGATGTCTGTCAGTGCTGTTTTATTATATAATTCAATAGAATAAAATAACATTTGAATGAACCTGTAAACGAAAGATAAAGGATGCAATCATCAAAATCAAATGCAATCAGATGCAATCATCAAAATCAAAATATAAAAAACACACATATGGAAAAAAAGTCAGAGATTATAAAAAAAGACTAGATCACTCAATCAATCAAAATTCCATGTTAGATAGAGGTATGAGAGTCACAAATAACCCAAAATGCCAAAGAAAATACATCAAATTTCAGCTGGACATTCCAGCAGCTTCAGTGACATTCAGAAACACACTGATGTAAAAAAGCAATTACAGACATCATAGGAAATGTGAGATATCATCGCTTTAAAATCACAGAGGGGGACAAGAATGTCTAGTCTCAACATGCTTTGCCATCTTTTCCATTAATAAGGTGATTAACACCCAAAACAGTCTTTCCAAGGTCAGAATATATTCATTGAGTATTTAACACCAACCAGTGCTGCGATGTAGTGTAATAATTAATGCATTAAAAGGCTAACACAGATGCCAGGTTCAGGGTCCAGCTTCGAAAATAGAGCCTTACTCTGTGTACTCTGATTTTCCTCATCCCAGCGGACAGCTTTTTGATATAAATAACAATGTATGAGTGTGGAAAAGCATCTCCAGTGTTAAGATGTGAGGCCCTCTGGTAAACGACATCAAAAGACTTCAAAGTAGAAGGGATGGTATGTGAATACAAAATGCCTCAATATCAAATGCAGAGATAACTCTGGATTGTACAGGTTTTTTATGTTATCAAAGGAGAAGCAGGCTTTGTACAGAATAAAATCAATTTTTATCCTTGACGTCTCGGTAAAGTGGTCCACATGAGCCTTGAATGATAATCTGTTATCTTCCAAGGTTTTTGTCTGGTGGTACAAGAGTTGAATTTGGGTGACGATATGAACAAGTTGTTCTTGGGTTAAATCTTTCAGCAATAACAGCATCAACAAGAAAAACAGCCTTCTTTTCAGCTTGATGGTTTTTTTTGTGTTCATCCAGCTTGACTAAAAAAGCTTTCATGAACCACGACACAACACAATACAATGTAAAATGTTGGGAAACAAAGCACCACAAAATGATATGACACAATGTGATACAATAAGGTGCAATATAACCAAGGATACAATATAGTGTTAAACAATTCTATGTGATGACAATGTCTTATCATATAATGTAATACCAATATCATGGTATGTTATATTAGGCTATTACTTTATGTTACGTTATCCTAATCTAACTGTCTCTTTTCTCACCAAGCAGAAGAATCCTCTAGAAAACAAAACAACAACTTGGACTTGGAATTTTTATTTTCTATTTAAACATTTAAATACAGCATTAATGATGAATGAACAAACATGGCTGTTTTTCATGAACGTAAAGTCATTGTCTCTGTTGTCATATGCTACTATTCTGCTGAATGCTAAAAGCTCTACCTACCATACCATCTTCCTATTGAGAGCTTCTTTTTGTCGTGTTGTTGCCATTTGCTGGACTGGACTAGTGGAGCTAGCAATGGCTAATATTTTGGTAAAGGCTATTTTATGTCTTATGAGGCTACCATACTTTGGCTGGATGCAAACAGGAAGAAGCTGAATACAGTCTGAGCTAGAACTATAATGTGTCCCCCTCATACTGATAACACAGATATAAAATCTGTTTCTTCAACAGTGACTTTATTATTATTATTAACAACCCAAGAAATACAAACAGACAGCCTCCCTTGTATAAGGATTTGATTGGTTACTCAGCCAATCACTCATAAATCCCACTGGTCTTAGGGTGCTGGGCCGCATTTTTGTGGTTTATTTTACACATTATATCTTCATTTAAGGTAACATTAAAATGCTTAAAAGGTAAAACTGACTTACTAACTGGATATGATGGATATTATATCGATACAACTGGACACAACACAACAAATCTGTCACATATCTGAATCAATTCCAGGCTGTCAGTAAGTGATCTTAAAGAGGAATTCTCCTCTAAATCCATTATTTTACTCTTACTCTTCCAGGTTTTGTGAGTCTCCCTCCAGTGATCCTGAGTTGCCAGGTGGGCGTGGCCGGGGTAAACGGATGCGAATGGCCATGGCCGAACGGCCCTGCGTTGAGCCGCCCCCTGCTGCCAAAGTTAGGGGTCTATCACAGCACAGGAGCCGTGGAGGTGGTGTGGCTGGAACCACTGCACCCATCCATAGCAAGGGACGGAGAGGAAGCCTGAACCTCATCAACAGCAACTGCCGAACACCTCCTTCTTTTTTTACTGTGGAGGAGGTGAAACCTGCAAACAGCACCTCCTCACTCTCCTCTGGGAAGCGAAAGAACAAACCGCCAGCTGACCTGGACCTCAGCCTGGTCTCCTCAGATGACATTAAAAACGGGAATGGGAAGAGGATCCGAGCCAAATCCCGCAGCGCCCCATCCACACCGCAGGGCAAATCTGACCCTTCTTTCATGGACCCTGGAGGAGGTTGTGCCTCCTCACCGCCTCCCCCACCAATCCTCATCGACTGCCCCCACCCCAACTGCACTAAACGCTACAAGCACATCAACGGCCTGCGCTACCACCAGACGCATGCGCACCTGGAGGCTGAGGAGCAGAGGAAGCCTGAGCTCGAGCCCATGAAGGATGGGGAGAGTGAGGAACGACTGTCAGACTGTGAGGACACCATCAGCAACATGACATATGACCTCTCAGAGACAAACAACAGCACTAATGCCAACAGCTCTTCTAAGAAACCTGCTCCTCTATATAAGGTGACCACCGTGGGATCTCCTAAAAACAGAAGGCTACTTCTCAGCACTGACCACACCTCCACAGCCAACTCCAAGACCAGAAGAACCTCATTGCTGAAAGATGGGCTGATTGATGACCTTAGCAATCTGCCCATCATCTCCAACATGACCGTAGTTCTGGAGAATTGCATGGTACCAGACAGGAACTCCACAGTAGAGATGCCCAAGCTGGAAGCAGAAGGTTTGATTGACAAAAAGGGTGGTGCATGTGACAAGGGCAAAAAGGCCAATGGGAAGGTAGAGAAGCTGTCCAAGTCAAGGACCAACCGGCCGATCGCTCCAGCCCCTGCTCCCCCTAAGCTTATCGCCATACCCAACACGGCATATCCAACTGGCACAGCAGATACTGCCACCTCACAGCAGCCCTCACCTATGGCAGCCGTAGGCCTCACAAGTAAAAACCTTCCCTTAAAACCCATCAAACCAAAGCTGAGCATTGTTGTGGAACCGAGCCTTGTCAAAGCCACCCTGGTTACCTGCAACAAAGAGACCAGGAAGAAAGAGAAACGGAGGCTGAAGGACAAACATAACAAAGATGCGTCAACCAGGACACCTAATGGCGACAGTAGTGGAATCAAAATGGAAGATGGTGGTGGTGGTTCTAAATTGGGTGTCAAGGAAATTACTGGAAGCCTTCTGAAGGAGCATCTCAGTAAGCAGGATGTAATGAATGGGCTCACAGAGAGCCAAGAGAGCAGGATGGCCAGTATCCGAGCTGAGGCTGACAAAGTCTACACCTTCACCGACAACGCCCCCAGTCCCTCTATTGGTGGTTCATCGCGGCTTGACCCCAGTGGTACTTGCCTGGCATCAGCAGACAGCAAGAACAACAGCCCCGCCTACTCTGACATCTCAGATGCCGGGGATGATGGGGGATCTTCTGAATGTCGCTCAGATGGAATCAGATCCAAGTCTAGCTCCTCAACCTCTTCAGAGGTGAGCTCTAACAGTAACCATGGTAACTCTGGTAAAACCCCACCCATATCATCTGCCCCATCATCAAAGGACCCCCAGTCCCCGTACTACCACAGCTACGAGCCCTACTACCTGCCGGGGTACATGCAGTCGGACAGGCAAAACAGCAGCAGTGTTGCCTTCCACAAAAGCTCTGGCCTTGATGGCAAAGGGAAAGACAGAAAGGAAGAAGTGAAAGAGGACGATAAAAACTCCTGCCATGAGTTTTCAGACTCAAAGAAAGGCGACGGGCCACCTCAGTCTCAGCTCCAGCTGGCTATGAGTCAGACCCAGACTGCATTGGCCCAGTCGCTGTATTACGGCCAGTACTCTAGAGGACTGTACATGGACCAGAAACTGTTACTGGCCTCCAAATGCTGTGACCAGACGCACAGTGCCAAGCAGAGGGGTGAGCGGGGACAAGGGGTGAGAGACAGTGAGGACGATAAACACATGGTTGGGGGTTCAGCTGGTGGACCCATGCTAGGTAAAGGTCCAGATGGTGCTAAAGGTTGCTGTCCCAAACCCATCCTGTCCTACGTGGAGATGAGTGAGAGGGGAGAAAGGGGACAGAGTCTGGGCGTAAAGGCAGTGCACGGTGGCATGGTGGACCAGCACCAGGTCTCGATGAAAGACTGTGATGACATCAAGTCACCGTCCTCTTCCTCTTCTTCATCACTCCACAACCCAAACAGTCAGACAGATCTGGACTCAAATGTTTCCTTTTCCAGTGTAAGTTTCTCCCTCTGTCTATAACCTGCCGCCGCCGCTGATGGTGTTGTTGGTGTGCTTTAATGACTGTTGTTGAGTGTCACAAAGAGATTAATCACACATTGTGTACAGCCAAACCAATAGGTGCTAATAACAAAGACCATGTGGCTTCTGTGGTGCTGTAGCTCTACTTTGACATATTACTTTAGTCATTTTGGTTGAAATCAAAATCGTGTGGTTTGATTTGATGGATGCAAATGTTTTTAATGTTTAGAGTAAAAATTAATGGGGGAAATGTATAATTTCATCTTTAGCTGTAAATGTAAGACATAAACACATAAAGAAACAAAGGAAACATTTCTAATACATAAGTGTTGGTTTTGATATAAGCTGCTTTTTTCATAAAGCTTGTACAGATTTTTAACCATGTCATCTCATGATGCAGTTAACTGCTAATTTTGGCCATGCTGGGTCATGTAAAAAGGTTGTATGAATTGAATGAAAGCTTTGTTTGGGAGGGTAGGTTGTTTTTTCTTCAGTTTGGCCTAAATTCTTCAGTTGGTCATGTGTGAGACGTGTCTTGATTCGTGTCATTGAGAGGGACGCCACACTCCTAACATCACACCTGTGAATGGCCGCCTGCTGTTGAAACGTCGTCATCTTTCATCAACATCACACTCAGAGCCAGTGATAGATGGTCTGTCTATGGTTCTGTTCACTCAAGTACACAGTGTTTCCTCTATAGTCATTCAGCAGCGGTGGGCCACCGCAGCAAGAAATTCTCCAACCCTGCTAAAAAGAAAATGTACAAATGAAAGTCATAAATTAGCCCTCCTTTCCCTCCAAAAAACACAAAAGAGACAAAACGCTATAGAGCTAACATTTAGACTTATGAAATAGGTATTTAGTTTTAGCTCTGCAACTGGCCATGTAAACAAAAACTGGGACAAAGACGTGGACTGAAGTTGAACTGACCTGAAAATGACTCCCACCCACCACTGTTAACAAAGAATTATAGGGGAAACACTGCAACTAGCACCAACACTTGTCCCCATCGATCTAGCCCTCAGACGGCCCGGCCTGGGCTCACTGCCTGGTTCACAGCAAATACTCAGAGCTACAGAGTCAACATGGGGAGGAGGCCGAGGAGGGTGAAGCAGACAGGGGAAAAGAATGGGGAACTACCATGGAGCCTGCTGGGGCCAAGATGACCTCAGGAGGAGGATGTGGAGGAGAGAGAGGAGGAGGTGTGGGCGGAGATGCTAAAAAAGCCAGGGTACATGGATCCCACGATCTCCTGCCCTCCATCGACATGGAGGAGTCAGACAGGCTGGAGGGGCTAGATGATCAGGGCCAGGAACCAATGGGAGGGCTTTCTGAAGAGTCCCAGAGTGCCCGGGCGGCGGTTTCTCCTCCCATGACCCCCCAGCAGCCCTACATCCAGTACCAGCACTCCTCCTACCCACCTTACCTGGCAATGTGTGAGAGCAGTGGGGGCTCCTACAGAGGGGTGTCCCCAACCCTGGTCCACAATTACCCAGGTAAGAGTCTGAGTAAAGGTTTGGGTTTACTTTCAAGGAGTATTTTAACATTTTGGGAAATGTGCTTATTCGCTCTCATGCTGAGAGCTTTAAAGCTTAAATACTCAATACATTTTATATTATTAATGGATAAAGTAGCTCACAGTGATACAGAGTACACACAGGTAACTAGAAAAGGTTTTCATATTTATGTATAGTTAATATTTTAAATGTGCTTGCTTTCTCTGAAACTTTGCAGGTTGAAAAGCTGTGAACTAGAATAATTATGATTTATTAATAGGTTGTATTTGTGCTGCAGTTTAAATTGAAGGAATTAAAAGAGTTGAAACTGAAGCACTGAAAGGGTTTGAAATGTCAGTTCAAGTATAAGTATTGACAGCACTTAAAGTTTCACTTTCATGTTTAAGCCTCATGGACAGTTGAATTTTCAGTTTGTTTGTAAACTGAAAGTAGTCGACCTAACACTAAGCAGGGAAACTGTCAGATGAAGATTAAGAGATTACAGCAATAGAAATGTCAGTTGATGTTTAAACACTGAAAGTAGTCAAAAGTCAAAAGCAGTCAAGTCCAGTCAGTTTAAGTGTAAGAGATGAAAGCAGTTGAACTGTCATCAGCTCTGGAGACCTACTGAGCTTTTTATCCTTTTTTTTAGCTCCTTGTAAGGCCCTTGTTTTCATCAAACAAGCTCTGATATATCCACTGTGCACCTCCTGCCCAGCACCAAACAGCAGACAGACACAGTTAGAGACTAGATGGTGAATAAAGTGGAACATCTAGCAGCTAATGAGCCAGATATTTTACTCAGGAGTTGGTAAAGACTAAAACAAAGTGAAAAGGAGAGTGAATGTTGGAATTAAATTCAGCAGATGGACAGAGACACCACTCCAATAGAATGACAATGTTGCTGGATGTTTGAAATGTAAAGATACATTGGGAGACAGTTAAATCACAATACAAATTTGTGAAGATTCAAATTGGTGAGATGTCACTCGCATCAGTAGCTACATTGAGGCGCAAAGACATCAGTTTAAATTTTATAAGAAGAGGAAATATACATTAGTTTGCACAGTTTATATCCTACCTCAGATCAAACGGATCTCCTCTCATCTTGGTAAAGAAGAATATAATCATTATGTCTTTGTACCCGGCACCAATTCATAACAAAAGGTTTAATCAGTCGGACATTTTCAATAGAGTAAGTTCTAGACTGTACTTTTATTTAAAGGGGAAATATATATTTTGTAGATTTTTGTCTAAAGATAAAATAATGTTTTTATTGTGAACCCAGTATTGTGAATTACTGTGAATGAACAAATAAGGACCTATAGGGACAAATTCTGGGGTCCAGGTCATCTTTTTAAAGCAACAATTTTGAAGCATAAAAGATGAAGAGAACAAAACAACAAACCAAAATGCATAAATCATAAAGCCAAGGGAAAAAAAGGTGCTGAGAATTACATGTAGCCGTGTACTGTGTAGGAGAAACGTTGGCTGTAAAAAAAGACTCAGTTTTCCCTGTAAAGGTCCTTATTTGTTCATTAAAGATCCAGTGTGTAGGATTTAGTAGCGTGTAGCGGTGTAGTTGCAGATCGCAAATCCCTCCCATAAAAACTACGGTGGACGAAAAACATGCAGAAAACGCAAAAGCCTCTATCTAGAGCCAGAGTTTGGTTTGTCCGTTCTGCTCTACTGTACAAACTTCAACATGGCAGACTCCATGGAAGGCGACCCAAAGCATCCGTACATATAAACGCCTCATTGTAAAGTAACAAAAATATATATGCAGATGATAATACACTAATGAAAACATACCTATGAATACTACATCCATTTCTGACAATAGATCCTCCTAAATGTTACACACTGGACCTTTAAATCATTTTATTTCTGTATAAAGTAGATTTAAAAACAACACAAGTTGATGATACTTTCTCACACACACAGAAGATACACGCCCTGATTTTGACAATTTAAAATTCCGGCATTATATGTTTAAATAACGTTGTTTTTTTTTTAGATGGCTATACAAAGTCATTGTGCTTGTATGTGTGTATGTATGTTACTGTGGCTGTGTGCGTGTGTATGTATGTGTGTGTATACGTATACCTCTGTGTTTGTGTCCACCAGGTTTCCACTACCCTCTTTATGGTAAGACGGCGGGCAGGGAGGAGTCAGAGGTGACTCCCCCCAGCAGAGGAGGAGTGGTGAGCAGCAAGCAGAGCAGTGATTCGTCCTCGTCCTCAGCCATGGAACTGCTGCAGCAGCAGAGCCACCAGTACCACGGAAAATCACCTGCTGTGAGACGCTGCACACTTTACTGCCACATCCACACTGCAGCTCACAGCTCTGATGTTTGTTTTCATTCACACAGCACAGATCTGATGTTTTCTGACGAACACATGCAACAAGATTTGAATAAAAGAAGTTTAAAGACAAAAATAGACGCAGATGTCCAATAAAGGCAGGTCCAGAATGGACAGTCATTTGTTCAACTGTCAATTGTTTGGTTCATTTTACAGAAACTATGAGCACCAAAGTATAATTCATTCAGGCTTACTGGCATGGTAAACAAGAGAGACTAAAAAAGCAGCTGACTCCCAACCTTTGAAGTGGCCATAAAGTCTGTACCATACAGTATTGGTCCATTCCTCCGTTATTAAAATTCCTTTAGTCCGTAAGGGTCCACTGATCAAAGGGTTTCATTAAAATGAACCCGAGTTGTGAATATTGTCATGTGAAGAGTGCTGCTCACTGTTTGTATGCTGGTGCTGTAAATCTTCGGCTGCCATAAAATGCCGTTCACATTCAAGCGTAATGGCAGCGGCACGGCGAAAAAAGTACGACCTGAAATTCAACCTGTTAGTTAGTTAGTTTGCTGAACAAGACTTGGGAGTAGCAGCACAATTAGATGGTGTTTCCCATCTTTGCTGAGCAAGAGTTTTGTGCTAAAGGAATTAAACGCCTGTCCACAAAAAAAGCAGGGGAAGTTCAGTGATTTAAGCAAATAAACAGGCTATTATTAGAAGTTTTACGGTATTAGCCCCTTTATAACCAATTATGCTTAACATCAGTGTTGACCATTCCACAAGACACTGCAATGTTTTAAAACCTTTCCAAGCAGCTGTTGTATTCTATTAATTTAAATACAGAATTCACTTGTAGAAACTTGAGTTAAATATTCATTACATTTACTTTTCTTCTTTCTTTTTAAAGTTACAGGATGTTATCCTTGTGTTGTAGTGCAGGGCTAATGATACACACTTATACACACTCCTCAATCCTCAATACCATGCAATGCCAATGTAGCAGCCATGTTATTTGTTGAGACTAAACACAATATCAAGTATACTTCATTTGTCTTCAAGATGATTTTCATAGTGTAGAGAAACACATCAAAACTGATTGCTTCCTGGAATGAAGTACATAACAAAAACATGAAAACATTCTTATATGATCCTTTAAGTTGTTCAGTTTTTAAGTGGCTCATTACTTGTATATGAAGTGAAAGTACCATACTACCACTAGATAATGACATGATGCTCCTTTATTACTGCTGTGGCTTCAAATCGTACAGAGGTGCACTCTGCCTCTGAAAATTGCAATCACTTGGGCTACTGGAGCCAGAAAACACAAATTTAAGCAATAGAGCGCTGCAGGAATGAGTCCTAAAGTCCAGAAACGAGTTAGCATTTTTCTCTCACATGGGTTTTTGGTTAGAAGCCTGAAAAAAGTTTTGTGGTGAACAAAAGCTTAAGAGCTTTTCACATTTTGTCCTATGACATGAAATGCGTCAGTAAATATCCCATCTGTGAATTTTGAAGCTTTTATGTGTCTTAAAAAAGGTGGTTGCTAACAAGTGGCTTAATAACGTCAGCGCATTGAACACGGAGACTTATCCACTCACTAGTCTGCCTTTACAGCCTCACTGTGTGTGTGTGTGTGTGTGTGTGTGTGTGTGTGTGTATACTCACACTCTGTTAAGAGCCAACTTAATCTTCAAAAAAATGTCTTGACTGTGAACCTGTAGAGCCAATTTAGGATTTCAGCATTCACTTCAGTATGGTCCGATTTTTCTTTGAGCAGTGTCAAATGGGCAAATGCTGCTCAGAAAATTCTAACTTTTCTCAGTAGTAGATGCTGTTTAGTTTTCACTACAGGATCCTGTAGTAATAGGAATATCCTGTACACAAACCTACTGCAATTACTACATCTTTCAGTGTCATCAAGTCAGTGAATGTGATCTTAACGTGACTTAGTGTTGGGCTGAAGACTAAACCCAAAGCAACAGTTTGCAGTGTTGGAGATATCGAAAGTTTAGTGAATAGGTGTAAATCCAATTGTGTGTATTTACTTGTGCAGCCCGGCGAGAAGGGTTCCCCTGAGGGAGAGAAAGAGACGGAGCGAGAGAGGAACCATGTGTCATTCGCCCGACACCTCCACACACACCATCACACTCACCTGGGTATGAGCTACAACCTGATGTCAGGACAGTACGACATCTACCAAGGTACGACAACACACTGAGCCCGACATGTGTCAAACTGACTGGCACCGGTTAATTTACGAATCCAAATAAGAGGGGCGATTTGGTTTCAGTACTGAAAAAGAACTGCTTTATATCTGAAATTGAAGCTGAAGTGTATTTCACATTTACTCAGTGATGCGCAAGAAGAGTGGAGGCAGATTAATGCTCCTGGTTTTGGAGTGACATGTTCAGCTATCACATATAATGATCAGGAGAGGAGACCACATACTTTTGCTGAGTTTAGTGTGAGTTGTTGCCTGTAGAACAGTATATGGGGCGTCCATTTGTTACCAAACGTTTGTTCTTGACTTTGTCTTTCGACTGGTTTTCCTCAGTACTAGGAGAGGTAATTCAGATCCTTTACTTAAGTAAAAGTACTAATACCACACATAAAATACTCCAATACAAGTAACAGTTGTATTGAAAAGGTTCTGATCAGGCTGATGTACTTGAAGTATTAAAAGTAAAATTCAGTAAAATGTCCCTTGTGGCTATTCTATATAACATTATTAAATTAATATGGATGTATTAATGTTTAAGCAGCATTTTACTGTTGTAAGAATTAAGAAATCAATTTGACAGTTGTTTGTTTTGTCCAATAAATAGTCTAAACCTCAAAAAAAGGTTAAACAATTATGAAAGAAATTAATTTTCTGTCATTCGACTGATTCACTTACTAATCGTTTCAGCTCTAATTGTATATATGGGTTGGTAGTTGCAATCGATAACAAGGCATGATATTTATAAGCCCTTTATATGTTTGTACACAAAAATCTTAATCTGTAAAGTAACTCCAGCTGATAAATGTAGTGAAGTAAAAGGTACCACATTTCCCCCTGAGATGTAGTGGTTCTGTTGATCTTTCACAGCTGGTTTTCTCACTGTGTTCTTGCTCCATGTTGAAGGGCTGAGCTCCAGGTCGCTGGTCTCCAGTCAGCAGGTGTCAGGACACTCCTCTACAGGTAAGTTTGAAACACTAAAGCTGTGTGATGTTAATATCAGACTATGATAATCAGAATTTAATGCCAGATATGTTCACATTTAATTATCTACTGCTCCACTACTTTCCTGTCGTTCCTTATAGATATTTTAGGAACCCAGTGAGTGTCTGTGTTTGTGTCATCATGGCAAAATGTGGTCCTGGACACACCTACTGTAGCGGGAACTACCACAGAAGTGGTTATGAGTACTTTGCCATGTGTTTATGTTTGTGGACAGATTTTGTCAATGCGATAGCATCACATCATGCAAGATACAGTAACGAAAATGTACAGGTGTGTGTGAGATCAATATGAAGGCAGAGTTTGAAGATGAGTGTGGTCCGAGCAAGGGCGCCGGAAGTAAGTAGGTTGGGACTATTGGCCCTTCCACTTTACACTCCTGGGCCAAATTCGTTTCAATCTACACACTAGAGACCATCTTGCGGCAACTGTCAACACGTTGACGTTCTGACCCACTGTCAAAAGGGAACTAACACAGAGGTGATTTTCAGTATTTTGCCAGATGTTTATATGCCTGTCTGTCTGTCTTTCTGTGGACAGATTTTGTCAATGTGAAAATGTCGTTAATACGTGTGTTAAAAAAAACATGTGAAACACACAATAAAAACATGCCTCGGTTATATGCATAAATTCACCTTTTTCACTTTACTGAAGGTCATAAAATAAAGGCATTTCTAAAATGTAACAGTACATATATATCAAAACCATGACACACACACAGACACACACACACACACACAGACTGCACACACACACAGACTGCACACAGTGTCCAGTGTCATCTTGTTGGTAGCACTGTGGTTTTCTTTTTAGTCTTTTATATGATTTGTTAGTTTCTCTGCAGAGTATATTTAGCTCAGATGTGCTTTCAGTGTAGATCACATTGACTCATAGATTATCCACTAAGTTTGCATCTTAAGAAATGAATTGGCTAAATTTTTCTTTCATGAAATGCAAACAGGAGCAGAATAAGCTGGAGAATTGCCTCATCTTCTGGCCGTCTGATGGGTCAATAAATCAAATATCTAGCCCTTCTCCTCTGGGAATAACAGCTCACCACTTAATCGGCTCTCTGAGGCTCGTGTCTTGTTGCCTAAATTACCATCCAGTAGATCATTATCCGCTTTGCAGTGTTTTCCATATATTTTCATAGGCCATATATCACTGCCTTTGTTTGAAAGTGTGAAATAATGCACAGGGAACCTGCCAGGCAGTTAAACAGCATAATGTGATGATTACCTAGTGCAAAGACTGCAGTTATCTATAAATGGTAATTGCTGTGAAATAAAGGAGATTAATAGGAGTAATGCTGACAGTTTTCTACTGAAGCCAAACACAGCGGTGGTTGCTAATGTTTAGGCCTGATATCTGAAGATCACTAATTAATTATCTTCTTATCTTTTGAACAAGCTATTTTCATACAATCACAACTTCATTATCTCTTTATCCCTAAGATAATGGTTATTTGTTTGTTAGATTGACATATAACAATTTTAGGATACCTCACAGCATTGCTAATGTCCCAAATTGTCCTACACAGACGCACTCTTTGTCCCACATTTGTTCTGTTGAGATCTGGGCACCCTACCGTGATGTCACCCATAGGTTTCTGAATAGCCGTTGTGAAGCTCAGTGTGGTCGGCTCTGGCCGTTGCCATTTTAGCAGTCCTGACTTGGCTAATCCAAAAATGGGCAAATAGGTGGAGATGAGGCGGGCTGAAAAGACACCTGTGTCAAAACACACCTGTTCTTAATTATGCATAACTTAGTCTTGATATAATTTAAACTAGTGAGTTATATAAAAATTCATGTTTATTTCTACTGTGAAGTTGGCCATTTTAATATGGGGCCTAATGGAGATTGATCACTTGTATCCAGCCTCAAGTGGCCATTAGAGGAACTGCAGTTTTTGTTACTTTGTGTTGGCTTCATTGGCCAGCCCATTTTTTTGCATTTATTTTCCACATTACAGCCAAAAGTTGGAGTTAATTTCACTATGAAATTCAGTTTGCAGACTTTAGATTTGTTGCCCTCATTTATTTCATGAAAGTGACGTTATCTACGTTATGTAACTCTATAAACATTTCCCATATTCTGCTCATGTTTACAACTTGGAACTGAGATTCAGTTTTGAGATTCAAATGTCTGATTTGTCAGTAATGCTGTGTTAAACTGTGTTCAGACATTTTTAACCTATATGAATGATTGTCTGCTTCAACTTACCATGCTTAAAGCAAAACCACAGGCATTCCTTTCTCGCCTTTTGATTGATTTTCACTTCTTGTCTGAATTCACCTAATGTACTAACACTAGTTCCTGAAAGGCCAATATGTGACTAAAAGCCTTTGTTTTGTCCTCTTGTCTCCACAGACAGCGAAGGGAAGAAGTAGGACCATGTGACCACGTCTCACATGAGGAACGGCAGATTTATCAGACATCAATTCCATGGTGTTGAATAAGCTTCGCCTCGCTGAGAGGCAGAGAACACAAATTTAAAAACCTCTTTCATTTCTTACTAATATCAACCACCTGTTTTATAACACGTCTTTGAGGAGCAGATGGGCCGACGGAGGGACAGAGGGACAGAGGGACAGAAAGCATGATCGGGACCTTTTTGAAGGAGGAACTATCTGTACAAATCCAGATCACTGACTTTTGAAGCTTTCAGTTTTGCAGGATTTTGACAGAAGCAGGCGGCATGTATAAAACGAAACAACCCAGAGCGCCGTGCACTCAGCCCTGCCGCGGCTTTATAAAATGCACATTTATCGTAGTGTATTATGATGATGATATGACTGAATGTACTGATGATGACTTACATTATCCCAATAGTGTTGATCGTTTTTTTAAACTCCTATTGGGAAACAGCATTAGGAAGCTAAAAAGTCTATTATTATCCTTATTATTCTCATTCTGATTATTGAAGTGGTCCTCCTCCCTCCATAGTGCTGACGCTACATTTGTATTACTAACCTGTACTTGAGCGTAACCATGTTGATTGTATTGTCTTTATGTGAGAGTAAACCTTCACATCAACCTGCCCAGTGCCATGTAGGAACCCAGTGGTGTATATATTCTGTACAGATTCATGGCAGAGCACTAACATGCTTTATCGTACTCTATGTTGATCTCCATCAGCCATGCAGGGGAGCAGCGGGCAGAGCGGGAAAACCATCAGAAGCAGAACCACTCCTTCTTCGTTAGTTGACTCATCTGCAATAGTTTGTCCCTTAGGCACATGTTCCAGTGATGTAATTTAAGTTGCACATGTGATGTTGCACATATCCCATTGGGTTAAAGCTTAGAGTAAGTGTGTCATTTAGTGAATATTAGCCCCAGTTTGTGCCTCTTGTTGGTACAGAAGTAGGCAAAACAATCTCACCATGAGGTCTGTTCAGTAGCTGATCTAGAGTTTTTAATCATATCACACCATCTTCCTCAGCAGATGGAGTTTGCCCAGCCGGCAAGGAATTGTGGATATTAAAATTTCCATCCCTCTGAGCACTTTAAGGACTTCTTGTCTATGTTTGCATCATAGTTGTCACTGAAAATGTGTTCTCTGAATCAACCGTGTGGTTCAACTACAATTTCATGGAAACTAGGTAATATGACTGAAAGCTCCAGAGCAGCTACTAAAAGGACCTTATGGTGAGACAGTTTCGCCACATGAAAACAAAGTTTCCTAACATTAAGTAGTTCATTTTCAACTAACCATTGATCTTTCCCAACACTAACCAAGTAGTTTTAGTGCCTAAACCTAACCAAACGTTAGTGCTGACAGATGAAAATGGCCACATGAATCAACAGGGTGACAGTGTTGTCCTTTTGATAGGGGCATCAGATCAGCAAACGCTAATATGGGTCGCATTTAAAAGCTATGAGAAACGACTATTTTGCCATTTAGTTTGGAGTAGTTGTTGGACTTTTGCATTGATAATTACAGTCAACACTACACAGATATGAGCCACTGTTATTTGCCCCCAAACAAAGATGGCAACTGAACTGGAATAGGAACTAGCTTTCTTTTCCAGTTGCTGAACTGGAATAGGAACTAGCTTTCATTTCCAGTTGCCATCTTCATTGATTGAGCCAATCCATCAATCCAGTGTACACCAGAAGAAATATAGAATAAAAGAGTGCAAGGATTTGTCTTCAAAAAGTGCTAAAGGTTGATCTGAGCTGTTGGGTTGTCACTACAAAACAATGACTTCTTATTATTTGACTTGAATATAGTCATCAATCATCAGCAGAGATTTCTAATGTAAAAATGTTTAAATCAGAGGTACAACCTGGGGCCAGGTGAATGAATACTGGTGATGGATGCCAGTGAGTGTGTGCTGAAGGCATGCTATTTAGTTTGGACATGAAAGACACATGTACTAGTTATACTTTTATTCACAGCAGCTATGAAGGACAGTTCCAGTGTTTACATGAGTGTTTGCTCATTTTCTACATCCATTCCTTTATTATTACCTCAGCAGTTGGCACTATGCTCAAAACTAAATGAAATTTGGTGTTTTGCTCAGGTACAATCGTTTGTGACCAAAAAGTAGCTTCATTGTTTGTCAGCCAAACTCCAAATTTTCATACTGGCCATAGTTTTTTTGTTTTACTTCGCAGAATAAGGCCAGTCTTTGTATATTTACGTCTTGTTTTTGGTAATTTACAATTGTGTAGAACCATTTGCTTGCGCCGCCATATTCAACTGCAGTTTGAGAACATGCTAAATTCAGTTTAGTTTTGAGTATAGTGTTACAGCTTCAAATTGATGCTTTCCTATGTACTGGGAAGACAGTATAAGACAGTGTTTCTTTCAGAATATTTATTTTGAATAAAACCAAGAGAACTAGAAAATATAATTTAACGCCATCAAAGCTGGAAGATCAGCTACTGTATAATGATAGAAAATAGTAACAGTGATGCAGGAATTCAGTAAATCACACTGGATTTGTCCGTTAAATAAAATGCCCACATTTATACTACCAAATAATGATCCCACAATCCTTTGCTCTGCCCCTGCTCCCATGCCACCTACAAGCTAACTAGCTCACTGCAGAGCCTCTGATAGACAGAATTGTCAGGTTTTACCATTGGTGCCAAACCACTGCCACATCACTAGAACAAAGTAGTGTTGGAAAACAAGAATTGGACTGATTATTCGTCATGGATCCAGCAACCAGGCCTGCGACATTTAGACCAATGTTGGGCTCCTGGCTGCCTGTGATTGGCTTGTGGTTGATGTCTATCCAATTTTGTCCTTTTCTCCCACTGTAACTCTGAAGCTCCTCCATCTGGCATTAACATTGCTACTTGTAGTACCCAGCTGATATTTGCTCACAACACAACATGTTCAACACAAACATGCCAAAATCATATACTGCCAGTCTAATGGGGGAACTCATTTCTTTCAACTAACATAAATAGAACTGAATGCATTTTTGTGGGAATTACAGTCACCCTGCTCACTTGTTAGGATCATTTAGCAAAGCAGTAGTTTTAGGCTGTGTCTGAAATATAATGGACACGCAACAGTGAGCAGCAAATTCATCGTCATTTTGTGTCATCATTGACAGCTATTGAGTTGCACAACTGTAATTTCTGCATTTATATATTGTGGTGCATTGCATTGTGGGAGTGATAGCAGCAAAATGAACAACAACTGTACAAAGTAGTGTCCATGGCATGAACACTACTAGTGCTTTCAAGTTGTACATACCGACCATAATCATGAGCAGCCCAATGGAAAAACCATTCATGTTAGCCTGCTAGAGACATCAGGAATTTTCAGGAAGATTAAAACTGATGCAATTGATTTAGCTAATTAAATTGAGCCTGATTAAAAACAAACTGCTACAAATATGTGACACAATTTAGGTTTGATTTTATTTGTATCAGTGTGAAAACATGGCTCGTACTAGTACTGTAACAATCTTGGGATAATGTGGGAACACTCCAAAGTCTAAATAATTTACCCTTTACTCCCGTTCTGCCATCGCAGCATAATGCAATGTTCACATCATGTGGGGTGGAAAGTATTTACTTGCACATGTTGGAAAATTCCCAATGCCAGTGGCCCAACCTTGTCTATCAGCCGCTCTGCCTCACTTACACAACACCTTACCTGCATAGTATCAGTGATCATTCTATTACTTGAATATAGTGCTATGAACTCTGTTTACAAAATGCTGTCATCTTTTGGGAGACACTTGTCTTATAAAGGCTGCTTGGTATGTTCAGTTCATCTACCCGGTGTATCCAGTTAATAACACACTGAAATCGTATAAACACGAAACCTGCTGTTGCTTTTTTATACTGTATATGCCTTAATTCATATGTTTGGCAATCATGATTAAAGGATGTTTATATATATTCTTTTGTCTGTGGAGTTTTCTCTTTATAAGTGACTAACATGTTTGGCTTTTGCTACAGTACATTAAAAACGGTCAGTATGTAATTTTTGAACACTGATATGAACAATAGGATTCATATGTTATAAAATACAGTATGCTACTATTACTACTACTATTACTGTTTTTTTCCATTTTGGTGTGATTACTGGGACTGATGCATAACCAGCTTAATCTATAATAATATACACTAATTAATTTGTTCATTATATTTTGTGTTGGTTATCTGAATGTGCAAAGTAACTACAGCTGTCAAATACATGTAGTGGAATAAACAGTATATAAAGTAGCACAGTGGTGTCTGGTGTCCTCGCCCTGCTGTTCCACCTCCTACCGGCAGAGGGCGCTGAACACTCAAGCCTCTCCGTCATCACTTCCGCTTCTAACACAAAATGGGTGGCGCCAAAGCTTGACAACAAAGCGGCTGTGCAACGGACAGTCAGCCTCCGAGTAAACCAAACCTCTGCTGTGTGTAACCTTTTTGTGTCCTCTAGTAAGTTGTGAGTCCCGCGGAGGTGTAAAGAGGAGTTTGGCAGTTTGAATAAACGTTTGAGAAGTTTGCCGTCAGAGCTGTCAAATGTCGTCATGGCTTCGAAGACAGACCAACTTCTCATCGTTGTGTCCATCCTGGAAGGTGAGCAGCATTATAACCTGTTTAACAGCGCTCCTTAGCTTTAAAGTGAAGTATACAGTACGCGTTACCAAGGTGAGACTATAGCGGGGGTTTTAACAAGTACTTCCCAGCATACTGGAGTCACACCAGTGTCATTTGTAGCGTATTAACCAGCTGAGTAAACACAGCCCGTTAACAGTAATCCACCCTGAAGTGGCTTTTGGAAGGTGCTAACTTATATAAACTTGACTTAGTACAAGCCAGATTTTGAAATTACACTGCCACTGCATGTGTACTAGTGTAACTTACATATTTGTTGAGATTGTTAAGCTTCTTAAGTCTGCAAACTGAATTTAATTATCGTTAGTTAACTTATGCACGCTGGTTTCTCAAAGGTGTCATTCTGTAGAAATCTGAAATTGTTTTGGTTGTTGGGTTTAGATTTGAGCAATATTGAATACATCTTATTCTGTATTATGATATTATCGAAATCAAGTCAGGTCAAATTTTATTCATAAAGCCCAAAATCACAAATCACAATTAGCCTCCAGGGGCTCAACATCTGTACAACCCCCCTCTGTCCTTAGAGCCTCTGTTTTGGTAAGAAAACACTTTGTTAACAGGGTAAATGGGAGAATATGAGACAGACATTTTGTTGTACCACGATAACGTTTAAACGTGTTGCTTTCCTCATCTCAGGCTGTATTATGGTAAAATGATTTATTGTAAACTGTCACAGCTGAGTGATACTTAGTTTAATCTGTATTAATGTCAAACACAGTGGCTTTTAAAGAGGCCTGTAGAGAAACAACAAGAACTTGAGAGAAGTGAATTATGGCAGGTGAGTCAGGTAGACTTTTTTTTTTTTTTTTTAAATCTCCTTTATTTGTTTTGCTAGTCTGCTAACCACTTGTAGATTTATTATGTATCTGTTGCTAATTTAATGTATGCAACGTAAGCAATAGATAGGTTAAAGTGGCTGCTGGATAAACAGCTCTTTCTGCACTGGACTCATGACTGGTGGGGATTTACCGGCTTGAGACAGCGAGTGAAGATTAGTTTTCCCTGTCTTTCCTCCCCCAGGTCGCCACTTCCCAAAGAGTCCCCGGCTCAGTCTGGTGGTCCAGGCGAGCTTCGATGGCGAGCAGCTGGCCACAGACCCCGTAGAGCACAGAGATCAGCCACAGTTCAGCACTGAGCTGGCCTGGGAGCTCGACCGTAGGACGCTGCACCAACACAGGTCTGCAGCTCTTACGTGCTGTCGTGGCAGTTTGAATTATCACGAGAATGAATTTACAAAAAGGGATTTGAAAAAAAAAAACAGCAAGAAAACGTTTTCAGGTTTCAGCCAAACTTCTCTCACTGCTGATTTTGTAATAATCAATAGTTTTACCAGCTTGTCAGACGGACTGTGTCATTATAGAATTACAGATTTATAGATTTATACCTTTGTTTTCAAATATTTGGCATTTTTGCTGAAAAAATTACCTAAACGATTAATCGATTGTTTTTTCTGTCGTTCCACTAATTGATTAATCAACTAATTGTTTCAGCTCTAATTGACTGCTGTGTTCAAGTGTAGCACTGTTATTATTCTATATGTTCAGAATACAACAAGGAACTAACTGTTATACTGTATTATATTGTATTGTTGACCCTTTCCATCTCTAATGTTTGATTTTGTAAACTGTAATATTGACGCGTCTTGTCCTCACAGACTGCAGAGAACTCCCATCAAGCTTCAGTGTTTTGCTGTTGACTCTGTGAGTAAGAGGAGAGAGAGTGTCGGCTACATCGTCTTGGACCTCCGATCTGTACAAGAGGTCCGACAGGTAAACCGGTGTGAAATATTGAAGTAGTTGAGATTAGAGTTAAGTGTTAAGATCAGTGACATCCTGCTTCTGCTCACTGGGACCACATTCAGAAGATAATTTTGTTTTCTGTGTGTTTGTTTCAGGAGCCTCGCTGGTATCCGCTGCTGAGCAGTAAATACACCAAGCAGAGACCAGCGCTCCTCCTCAGCATGGTGCTAGAGAACGACACCAAGCCCTCCGAACCCTCTCCTGATAGGTTCAAAGCCAAGAAGGCCCCGCCCCGACAGGGTCAGCTAATTCATCAATACTGTTTGTGCTGCTCTCACGTCTGTGCTTTTCTCATCTCTTGTATTTGTTTATGTAATTATTATAGTCGTTTGTTTCTTTTTTCTATCTCACTCATACATACAGCAGTTTCATAATGTAGAGATGAAGGTTAAAACTGGGAAAGTCGAAGGACAAGGATGTGAATAAATGCTCTGTGCCCCGAGCTGTTCAATGTTTATATGCTTGTGAATCAGTAACATGTTCAGCAGTAATGTGTGTGACTAAAAACCATCTTTAAAGTCTAAAACTAACGTTGTGACAACCCTTTTTGCTGGCAGTCGGTCCGCTCTGTTTCTCTGGTAAGCTGTGCTGTGTCGGACCTGATATTCTGAGATACGATAGATTCAGGATAAACAATTTTACATCTTTAGCCTCTAGCCATCGGTGGATGCTTTCAAGTCGCTTTTTCCTGTAAACTGAGTAAAACATGATTAATATCCCATGCAACTATTTGTGAATCTGTCAAGATTTGTTGTAATAATAGTTCTGTGCTATGAGTAATTTAAAAGTAATGTCTCTGCTAAAGTGTCCGGTCCATTTATTAGCTAGCATGTGACGTGTTAACATCCCACACTGTAACATAGAGTACGCGCTTAATATCAGAAACAGTGTATGTGCTGTGTAGTCTGCTATCTGTGCCCCCTGTTAGAGTAAAACATCTGACATGTCTGCAACGCTACAGCTGTTACCAGGTTTCCAAACTGTTTAAACATTCATTGTGCTCATCAGTGTTTCTTGTGGTTGTGTATAGACTCAGCAGGTTCACTTCAGGGTCAGCTCTGTGTGTTGTGTAAGCAGTGGATGACGGATCTCTTAAATGTTGTTATTAAAGAACTGTAGCCAATTAGATATTATTGACATATACACAGATACCAAAATATCTGTGGTAATATTGCAAAGGTTATATAAAAGGACTAGCATTTGATTTCAGTGTTATGAAACATCTGGAAATGTACAAATATTAAAGTAGTGCTAAAATGAGTCGCCTCAATTCATGTTTATCGTGAGTTGTTTGTATTATTGCTAAGACCCAGCCCGGTATGACCTCCTCTGCTCACTGGACTTAATTCTGTTTCACATTTCCTTTTTATTGTCTTCTGTTCTCCTATTCCTTGTCCCTCTGTTGTTGTAACTCTTGTGCTGTTCTGCTGCTGCAGGTTCTCCTTCAGTGACTGACCTGCTTCCAGACAACCTGGATGCCACACTGATCCCAGACCAGGGTTACCATCAAGTCGGACCTGCAGAACACTGCTCTGACATGTTCATCCTGTCCGTCACTGTGGCCTTTGCTACCAAATTAGAACAGGTAAGGACAGTACTCTGACCTCTCATTGATAACCAACCTGAGCTGAGTTACCAAGCAGTGCAGTCTTGTTTTTTCTTCAAATAAAGTTGCCACATCTGGAATAAAGTTTGATCAAATAAATTAGATAAACACTCACCTTTTCTAGGCTGGAAACTCATTTGTTCTCACTGTCACCATCATTGTTGCCTTTCGACTTTTCACACATACTAATAAACCCAGCTGACGATATGAGACCTGTTATTTAGGGCTGTCTTGAGGCAGTCTGGGAAGTGTAAAACAAGCACTAACTGAAGCTGAAAAATAAAATTACAACAGTTAATCAGAAGTGATGTTGAAACTCACAAACTGATGATAATGTGATAATAGAAAACATCTCAGGTGGAAACTGTCGTTTAAACGTTATTGCTTCAACTGCTTCAATAAGGACGGTCTGTCGCCCAGAGAGTCATAAAAAGACACTGAAGACACCGACTCTGTCGTAGCTACCAAATTAAACCAGTTTCTTTTGTCACACTAACCTGTTCTTTCTCAAGGCAGTTAGATAGTATATCGTTTTCAATAGATAGCACTTCATTCAAAATGTGATGAATTTATAAACAATGGTATTGTTTGTCTTTATTTAATTTGGAAAGCCAAATTAAAAAAAGAGTGTATATTTAGGTTGTAGTTCAAAAGTTATTTTTATTTTTAATTATTTTTCAGTCTTTTTTTTAAAATCTGTATCGACCATGGAGTAAAAAAACGACACTAATGCCAATTTTCTGTCTTTTTTGCCGGTACACAACACTGAAACCTGCAGAAACCCAGTTTTGATTTAGATTCATGACAGGGAAATTGTGAAAGCTATTTGACATTTTTTTGACATTTTAAAGATTGTAAATGCTTGACTAATCAAATATACGGTATAGTCTATATATTAATCAAAAAAGCAGCTTAGTATGTGCAGCTGAGGACCTCTAGCTTCTATACATTACATTTTATATTATTTAACTTTGATTAAACCCAAATAAATTCTAATAAAAATGGTAAAATAAATCTAAAATGGTCATGTAAAGCACATTTTTCAGTAATTTTTGCTGAATGGAATTGAGACAGTAATATTTTGAGTCCAACTTTAAATTTAGTTAATTGTTATTGTTGTGTGCTTTCTTGTTGTTTTCCATAGTTGATCCCCAGCACTAAGAAACTCTCAGCGGAGGGGTCAGAGTTCTTCTTCTACTACTCTTTACTGGGGAACGACATCACCAGTGAGCCTTTCAACAACCTGCTGAGCCCTGACTTCGAGCCGGAGCGCGCCTCTGTGCGCATCCGCAGCAGCAAACAGATCATCCAGGCCTTTCTCTCTCAGCAGCCCAGTTTACAGGTGAGAATCAGTCAAGTGTGTGATGAGCAGCTCTTTTCTACCTGCTACCACCTGGCTATGTATCATCATATGTTCCTGCCTGTCCTCCTCAGATTCACCTGTGCTGTGGGAATCACTCTCTGGGCAGCACAGATGTTTCTCTCTCAGCTCTGTCTGCTGTTTCTGTGGATCTGGAGAACAAGGCAGCAACGGTGGAGGGAGCATTTGTACTCCAACCTCCTAAACGCATCAAACAGACGCTGCCGGCTCTGCCCGCCGACTTGCAGCCGACTGTAGGGGTGGCTGTTACCCTGAGGAGGGAGGAGGTCGCACCACAGGTACACTCACCTAGGACATGTTTTTAAATTGAAAGTATTCAAAGTGTTGTGTTTGTGATTAAATGTGGTCATTAAACACAGTATTACATTGCCCTATTTCTCCTCACTTTGTGTTGTCTACCTCTGGTAAAGCTAAGGGGTGTGTGAGATTGGGTTCACTTGTGCAACACCAGACACTATGTCATTAGTAACCTTCCCAAGGCTTTGTAAACAAAGAAGACATAAAACAGATAATAGCTGACAGCTAATGTTTTATATTTTTCTCATATCTATCAGGGATCTGCTCATATGTTCTCTCTCAGTAAAATGATCATCAGTCACAGATCTCCAACTGGAATAATGTTGGGAACAATATATCTAGTTTAAGATCAGTTATGTAGTTTGTGCACACTCACGTCAATATGACATCAGTCTGGGATATAAACTGTCGTGTAGTGAGAGCAGCAGACTTTACTCAGCATCATTTTGGACTGACAGTCACATGGCCTGCTGTCCTCTCTCCAGTCTTTAGGGAATAAAGGAAGTGGAGCTCAGACACACTCCAACCCTCCTCCTCCTTCTGTCCCTCCCTCTGTTCGTACTGCTGAACAGAGACCTCGAAGCTCCTCTCCAGTCCGAAAACCTCCTGCCTCTTCTCCTCTGGGTCCTCCCCTTCCTCCTCCTTCCTCTCATACAGAGAGTGAAGCAGACAGTCTGCTGGAGGAGTTTCAACAAGGCAAAGAGCAGGCAGGACTGGCAGGTGAGATACCCCATGTCTTTTTCCCCACAAGAAGTGTGACAGTTAAAGTCAAACCGGATAACCCAGAGAAGAAACATTGTGTTTGTTCATGTGCCCAGCTGCAGATTTGGAGGTTCCTGTGCAGCTGCACACTCAGACTGAAGCTACAGCAGAGGGTGGAGCATCATCTGTCAGTGTGTCTGCTCCTAAAGTGTCCATCCCCTCCTCCGCCCATCACTACTGCTTCTCTCTGGACCTCCACAGCCTGGGAAGCCTCAGCCTGACCCATCCCATCGCTGCTACGCTCAGGTGAAAGACTTCATCTGCTTTTGAACTGAGTCACGACTAGAAGCAGTCACTGAATGTTTCATGCAAAAAAAATAAAAGTCATAATTTATACATGTGAGGTTTATCCACATATATGGGCAGTCTGGAAATGTTAATCTAAACTTTCTCCACAAGGTCGTTAAGATACCATTTTACTCACAAGCTTCACTGTAAAGACACAAAAACACAGTTTCACAGTTACGATAAATAGTTTAGTTAGTGTATTCACCTTTATTTTCATGTCTAGTGAAGCCTTTAAGTATATTGTCATAACAGATGAAAATCAAAGGCAACACCTTCTTACAAATGGCCGTTAAGAAAGTGTATATTGAAACTTTGCATTTTAACCCCTGAAACAGCAAAGTGCCCATCCATTCAGTGCAGTACAGTGGTCTGAATTGTATTCTATTGTTTAATGATGGTGTATGTTTGTTGTATTTCAGATATTCTTATCAGTTCTTCGGCAGTCCAGCTCCCATCATGACCAACCCTCCTGTGGAGCTGCAGAGGAACATGGAGGCGTCTCTGCCTCAGTCCTACTGTGCCTTTGACTTTGCAGCTCTACCACAGCAACTACAGGACACCTTCCTCAGGTAAACAGAATCTTGTTCCTGGACATACTTAATCCTTAAGTATCAAGTTTAAGTTTACTTGGCGAGTCATAGCTCTGGAGATTCTCTTCATGTGAGTTTAGATAGTGGTGTCCACACATGATTTTAAAAAAGTGAACAGTTGGCCTTTACAGTTAAAAAGGTTCAGGATACTTCCCACTAAATGAGAAGACTATGCCACCGGCAAATGTATACCAGCAGTAGGCAGTAACAGCAAAGAAGTATTTGTCATCAATACAGATGTGCTGTTACCACAGGCGTGCAGACCAGCTCTTGGATATTGATCCACCGCAGCTATATTGCTAGTTGCTATATTTATGAGTACAGATATTGGCACATTTTACTAGTTTGATATTTGTAAAAAGTACACTGGTACTATTTGTACTGGATACTTTGATTGACAGCTGAGTACTCGACTAAAGGTACTTAGTTACTTGCCACTACTGAATATGTCACCTTAATGGTCTTTGTGTTCGACAGATTATAATATCTACTTTCATAAAGGATTACCAAAGAAAATATCAAGAAAAATATAAAGAAGTAGTTCTGATCTGCTCTGGAATTCAATTTATTATCAAGGCAATGTATGTTACTTATACAGCAAAGTAGACTCATTTTGATTGTTACATTACATAACATACATCGTTACATTGTTTTTAATGGATGTATAAAATATAACTGACGGGCCAAAGACAATTTTCCACCTTGGTGGAAAATAAAGGTGTGTTTATCGCTTTTGTCCAGCAGGTGGTGCAGTAGGACTGTGTGTGGACGTTGTTTTTAGCCCTGAGTGTGATGTAATGTGTTTGAACTGACTGTGTATATCTGGGTATGTTGTAGAGTTCCTCTGGTAGTGGAGGTTTGGCACAGGGACTCCACCAGCAGGGACCAGCTGATAGGAAGAGCCTCCATCCAGCTGTCTCACCTGCTGAGCTCTGAGAGGAGCAAGTTACTGGCATCAACGGGGGAGCAGAGCTGGAGACAGACTCACCAGGACCGGATCCCCGTGGTCAAAACACATCGGTAGGCAACAGCACTGACAGACTGTTCATATGATGCCTGTTAACCATTGTTAAACAACTGTGTTTCCTTCCATCAGTCCCAGTGAAAAGGTGGCAGAGTTAAGCTATGTGGCAACTCTGGAGGATCTGGGATTGGTTAAAGCCAGAGAAGTCATTGTGTCCGACTCTTCACAGGTGAGACAGCTGTATATGGTATGTGTGTGTGTGTGTCTGTGCACATATATTGGTTGAGGTCAGATCTTCAGACTGAATAGCAGTATCTTCACTTTGTGATAAAAAACAAAGCACATACAATGTTTTGGGTTCATCATAATCATTCAAATGATGGTTGGTTTTGGTTTGGTTTAGGTTTAGTCCCTTAGGCCCTCAAAAAGCTTTCTTCTCTATGTATGACTGATAATCAGTCATGTAAGATGACTTTTTTATTTCTGGTCACAGTCACACATTTCTTAAAGCTGCCAAAGCCTTTACGTAGATTTTCACACAGTTAAAATATGCATTATAGACCTCTGTATTGAGTTTCCTGCTAATATTTTCCCTGTTTCTATTTTTGTATGACATCAGAACGAACCTGCGGTCCCCACACAGCCATCCTCCCACCCTGCAGCACCCAGACCTGCTGCTCCTGGCCTGAACCCTGCCCCGCTGGGCCCTACAGCTCCAACCGCCCCCAGAGACACCCTGGAGTACCGCACGGCCCTGGAGCTAGAGCTGTGGAAGGAGGAGCAGGAAGACCTTTTTGATGATCAGGTAAACACAGGACTCAAAGTAACTGAACAATCTAATGAATAAGACTAGATACAAAATGATATTAATATGAAAATCCTTAAATCAAGCAATGTTAAAACATATTAGAAAATGAATACAAAGATGCTATTTTTTCATAGATGAATATAAATCATCTGTCACATGTAGATTGATTGGTAACTCATGATGTTGAGTCATAAAAGTTCACTATTTTTTTACTATAAACATTCATTTGCCTATTTCATTTAACTTGTATATAAACAGGTGTCTGACTACTGTGTCACATGGTCAGCTGGAATAAATGTGTGAACACAAATCATTAAAAAATATTGTTTGTTTCAGTTGAGGAAGAAGGAGTTGAGCCACATGCAGGCTCTGGCAGAGGAGTGGAAGAGAAGAGACAGAGAAAGAGAAGCTCTGGTTAAAAAGAAGGTGAGTTCACCCCTACCTATGCAAATACACACAATGTTTACACATTACAGTAAATACTGAAAGATTTTCTTTTTATGTAGACCTGTGGGACACCTAAATCAAAATTTATTGAGCGGAAAAACTGTTTTTCAAATAATACTGCCCATGTTTTCCTCTTGGTTATCCCCCAAAATCTCTGTCCGGGGTGTAGGAGGTGGAATATAACGTTTTGGAGGAGCAGCTTCAGAAGACTCTGTCTGATCTGGAGAAAAGGGAAAAACACCTAGTGGAGGCTGAGCTGGAGGTCAGACTCACCTCTGACACTTGACACATCAATGAGATGATATACAGTGTTTATAAATGAATGACTTTCGTAAAGATTATTATATGGAGTGTCTGTTTAGTGTCTTGTTCCATAGTTATTTGCATTGTTGAGATAACCCCCGCTCCAATCATATTTTCAGTGAGCACAGAGAAACTTTCCAATTTCAGCAGATGAATGTGAAAACATCCTTCTAGCATCAAACTCATCATACATCATTCTGCACAGTGAAGATCAAACAGCCAACTGTAGGAACAAGAAGAAAAACAGATTTTTAAGTGGAGGGGGTCTTTAAGGCGGCTTTACTCACATAAGTGTATTCATTGGACACTTAGAATAACAATATTATCAAAGTGTGCAGCACAGTTCAAAAGTGTTTTAAGTGCATTTTTACAGCAACTCTTTCTGACAATGACTCTTCTTGCGTGTTCAGACTCAGAGACTACAGAGGGAGCTGCGGGCCGAGCATGATCTGACCCAGAGGGAGCTGCAGGAGAGCAGCAGGAGGCTGCAGCAGGAGTCTGACCACCGGATGGCGCTGGATAGAGACAAGGTCCGACTGATGGAAGAAGAGAGAGCCCGACTGCTGCAGCAGGTACAGAGAGAGTACTCCTGTTTGTGTGAAAGTGTTTCTAAATGTTCAAGTTTACCTTAAATTAACTTCTTTTACTCTTCAGATTGCAGACGGGGAGTCTCGGTACAAGCAGCTGGAGAAAGAGTTCCAGCTCTACAGAGAACAACAGAACATCAGACCTGAGTTCAGACTGCAGTCAGAGATAAACCTACTGACTCTAGAGAAGGTAACATTTCCATACCATTACTACCAAGGTAATTGGTATGCACTATGTCAGACACTTGGAATCACAGTTCCTCTTACAGGGAAATCTACTAAAGGAGGTATTTAGACAGTAACTTGTGCTTTACAATGAAGTAAACAAATGTAACAAAGAACAAGTGATGAAAGTTTGAGATAAGTTGCAGTTATACAGTATACTGTATGTACATATAGCTTTTTTTGGTTTTAATTTTTATTAAAATTTACATTTGAAGGTGTCCTGTGGAGGTTATGACTTTTAGTACGGCCGTGGAGCTGTTTATTTATGAATCATGCCTACACACAGGCACACACACACA